GTGCATCTAGGCGGTGGCGGTCTGGCGTGGCTACGGGGCTCCGTAGTGCATGCAGGCGAGCAAATGGGCGGCGGCTCCGCCGTTGGCGGCGGGGCGGCGCGGCGGCGGGATCTGGCGTCGTCCACTCGGCCTAGATCTGGGCCCTTCAGGCCCCATCTGGGCCTGGGCAGGCCAGCGGCGGGGATGGCTCCGGTGTGGCTTCTGGGAGGCGGGGGAGATGCGACGTGCGGCTGGATGCCGGCGGCGACGACGCCGGCCTGCTGCATCGAGGCCGGCGGGGCTTAACGGGCCCGCTACGGGCCTGGCTGGGCCAGGGGTGGCCCGACATGCCCCGCTGCCGCGTCCGGACGGCTACCGCGACGGTGCCCACATGACGGCGGTGGAGGCGGTTCCCTCCCGCTCGGCGTCGATGTTGCTGCTCCTGTCGTGGTGAGCTTCTCTCCGATCCTCTTGGCCTCGTGGTGGTGTTCATAGTGAGGCAGCGTGGGTGGCGGCGCTACTGCGTTGGCGCATGGTGATGGGCGACGGTTTGGCCGTCGGTTCCGTTCAGTTGGGCGGTTGGGGTTGGACTGCGGGAGAAATCCCTGCCGGCTTCGGCCCCGACGCGGTGACACCTGTGGGTGCCACCATTCCTCCCTGGAGGGTGTCGGTGGTAGCCACCCCCCCACCTCCCTCCGCGTGCCCGGGGAAACCCGAGGACTCGTCCGGGCAGCAGCGTCATCGGCATCGCATCCCTTCTTGGAGGTGCTGCTTGGTACGCGGCGGATCGGAGCCTCGGTCTGTGGTGTTTTATTTCCGGTGGGCGCCGCGGTGGCGGGTCATCCGCGCTTTGCCAAGCTGTTGTGGTTGGCTTTTGTTTCTTCTTCTTTTTCTCTTGGTGTGTTGTGCTGCTCGCCACAGCGTTATCTGTACTCGGTGTTGGTGCTTTGGAATACAAAGCGAGGGAAGACCCTTTTTCGGTAATGCTTTCGAAAGTAGCATTTTTGACCTCCGATTTTGTTTTCTTTGCCACGACTTCCACGAATGTTATTCCACGATAAAATTTTGCAAGCACTCAAAACATTCCCGAGGTCATTTGAGCTCGAGGCAAGATACTTCGCATGTCATTTGTTGGCTTCTTTCCCCTTCTCCAGCTTGCACTGTTTACTACAGTGGACTTTTTTTTTGTGGGGTACTCCTACTTGATTTCGATGAGAACAATGATGTTTGCTCTCCTGTAAACTGAATCTCATAAATCCTAGCCAAGTTTGGAACACAACGAAGAAATTTTATGTTCTTTTCCAAAAATCTTGTCTGAGGATATTCCATTGTTACCACCTTTTTGGAGATTTCTCGTTTTCCAAAAGAAATACATTTTTATTAAATTTTCTGTAAAAAAGTAATGATTTCATCTTCAACATTGTCAACCAAAGTAAACAAGTGAGGATATTCACAGATTTTCACAGAGACATTTGTGAAAGGCCCCAACAACCAACCATGAGCACACTAGGATTCAGTGCCCTACTCACATGATGACCATCGTTTGCATCACGTACTAGCATTATGGCTCTCTACACATCTGCGCATGTTGTTGCTGTCAAACAAGATCCGTCACCAGCGGATTGAATGGCAAAAGAGCACATTCGGAACTGTCGTTGTACATTAACTATGGTACCAGATGGGCTACTATTAACCAAGAAGGTTGGGGTGTGAGATGAACATGACCTGTACCCGATGAAGTACACCGCATCTTTTGGACCGCGGAACCCCAGTTCAGACCAGCTCAAATGTGGAGTGTACAGAGTACTCGCTCAAGTTTTGGAATCGTTGTTTTGGAAAAGAAACTTCAATGTTGTGCTAAGTAATGCTTTGTGAGCAACTAATTGGACTATATTTTAGTTCAGGCTGTGATTTTCCTCAAACTACTTTGTAACAGTAGTAGCAACCTTGTTTTTGTTATCTTTCCTTTCTTTTCTTTGGTAATGGTTTCTTGTTATATGTCTTCTAGTTTACCTGTCCCACAGGTTCTCATACGAGTACATCTTTAGCAGCTTGAGGAGATTTGGAAACTGTCAGATCTTGGAGATATTCTACTTGTTGATGCTTAAGAAAATGCTCGCCATTTGTTGACTTCTTTCCACTTCTCCTTTACAAGTTTGTATTGTTTACTACCCTGGATTGTTTTTTCTGTTTATGGGGTACCTGCTTTAGATGAGAACGATGTTGATTGCTCTTCTGTAAACTGAATCTCACAAATCCTAGCCAAGCTTGTAATACATTGATAAAATATTAGATTCTTTACAAAAAATCATGTTTAAGGATACTTGTTACCACTTCTTTAAGGGTTTCTTTTTTCCCGAAAAAATCAATTTTTTGTAATAAATTTCTTGGAATAAAGTACTAATTTCATCTATAATATTTTCACCCGAAGTAAACAAGTGAGAATATCCACACAGAACTTTGTGGAAGGGAACTGAGCTGTGGGAGAGCAGTAAGACCTTTGTCGCATGAATGACACATTTACAATCATAATTCTGTTTTTTTTTTTGGACGAAAGGAGCCTAGGCTCCCAATTTTGTTGCATGAAATTGATAATGAAAAACGCCCAAGTGGACGAACGTTTAATGCAGTGTGTCACCTGGCCGTGAACCTGATCAGCCCAATAACCTCACTAAGGAGATGCCGACAACAGTTTAACGCACGACAACATCGCCAGAACTATTGGACACCAGCAAACCCTAAGCATAAAACATACAGAAAGAAGTAACCGATCAAAGACCATACACAAAAACTACCATATGGGGCCAGCCTTGCTTTCTGCGAAAACACTGTGGCCTTAGGTGAAAGAAGTTCTATGCACTTGTCATTCATGCAACACTGCTTCAACTACAAGTAGAAGAAGCTTTCTTTGTGGGATTTTCAGGAATCTTAAAACTATGAAGCTTTATGCACAATGGACCTTCGCTGTACTCCAGGAAGATTCAGCTCTGGAAGGTAGAGCATAGGTACTATTTCTACACCCCTTCCGGATTCCTCCCAATCCTACACATTTAGAGGAACGCCTTGACTGGCTCGGAATGCTTCTCGATCCTATCATTGTTGAGTAAGTTTGCACGAGAAATTATCACTAGCAACATATGTAAAGTCTGCTATATAGTGGTGACTCACCAACCATGACTCTTCGTGTTTAATACCATTGGCTCATGGTGAATTCATCACAATAAAGAAGAAAATGTGCAAGGCCCTACAAATCCTATGATTCATTGCCCTCCCCACACATGCTGCTCATCCTTTACATCATATACCGCATTATGACTTTACACATTTGCATATGCTCCTAGTCCAAGCTGTGGTAAAACCAGATCCAGCACCAGCGGATTGAATGGCAAGAGAGTACATTTGGTGCTCTAGTTGTACATTAAGTATGGCACCATTGTTTTCTTCCCCTATAGCACTCATCTTTTCTAGACCAAGGAGTGGTGAGCCGGTTCAATACAAAATAATGTTAAGCAAGACCATACTTTTGCACCCCAAAAAAAAAAAAGTCCAAGCTGCAATTGTTGAACTGATTCTTCAGCTTCGTCTTAGCCTCCAATATATGCATCCCTGACTCTATGCAGCCTGCCAGCCACCTCCTCCATGTTGATGCGATCACTTGGAGAGGACTTGGTGCAGCAAAGGCCAACATTCAGCACAGAAAGTAAACAATGTACTCCATTATCCTCCGCCGATGGAGCTTCTTGGCAAAGGTCCAACTCCTGTACCAGTTGTGGATCGACACTCTGCAACATCTTGTCAGGGAAGTTGACCTCTGCAAACTTTGCAATGCTTAATCCGTCCTTGAACATGTCATCTGTTGGGCTCTTTCGTATGAATATTTCAAGGAGAACGACCCCAAAACTGTAAACATCTGCAGCGGTAGAAACTTGACCACCTGCTCCATATTCTGTAGATTGCATAGATCGAGAGATCGGTTTAATCTCACACTTCCAACTAAATTAGTAAGAAAAACAGACCGTAAAAAAATAATACCTGGAGCAACATATCCTATGGTTCCCCTGATTGCAAGCGAAGAAACCGATGTCGAGCCATCAAAGGATGATGACATGGGATAGACTTGCAACCGTGCGAGTCCAAAGTCTCCAACATGAGCTACCATGCCATTATCCAAAAGAATGTTGCTGGGTTTGAGATCACAATGAACAATACTTCCATGGTGGTTATGGTGCAGGTACGCCATTGCATCTGCTATATCCACCACAATGTTTAACCTTTGAGCAAGTGAAATGTAGCTCTGTTTTAAAGAGTTGCCATTGCCTTCCGTTGAGTAAAGCAAGTTATGCAAATCCCCTCCTGGCATGAACTCATACAATAACGCTTTGAAATCATTTCCTCTAGAATCGATGCTAGAGCATGCAGTTAAGATACGGACTAGATTGCGGTGTCGCACATTTCGCAAAGCATTGCACTCTGCAATGAAGCTCCTCTGTGCTCCCCTTGTCTCTAAGCACAATACTTTCACTGCAACCACATTTTCTTCTTGAAGTATCTTCCCTCTATATACTGAACTGTATCTTCCCGTGCCAATCAAATTGGATACAGAGAATCCATCAGTTGCTCTAGCAAGATCCTTATAAGAAACTTTAGGAAATTTGCTATCAAATGAGAGCGAAGACATAGAACTTCTCATATGTTTTTTCCTCCGCCAAAGCAACACAAAGATCACCGTAGCAAGCAGTGAGAGCATGCAAGCGAGTGGGATTGCTACTTTGAATATTACAGGTAGCCTGTATTTAGATATATTTGAAGACATAACAGAACATGAAGGCAGGTATAAGTTCGATGCCCCACCACAAAGGCCCTGATTTCCATCAATATGTGTGGCAGTTGCGTTCTTGAATATTCCATGTACTGGAACCTTGCCCTCAAGATGGTTGAACGACAAATCTAATTGTTCAAGATGCTGAAGGTTCCCAAGAGACGCTGGTACTGAACCGGTTAAGTTATTGTAAGACAAATTGAGGACTTTTAGGCCAAATAGGTTGCCGAATGAAGCGGGGATGTTGCCATTGAAAATATTATTGTCCAACTCAATGTCTTCCAAACTTTTGCAAGCACCCACAGTGCTTGGAATATCTCCAGATAACTTGTTGGCTGAAAGCAACAAAATCACGAGCTGCTTGGCGTTGCCTACTTCTGCAGGAAGTTGTCCGTGAAGGTTGTTGGATGATAATCCAATTTCCCTTATTGTTGGAATGCTAAAGATCCTCTCTGGCACCCTACCATGAAGATTATTATTGGAAATGCTCAGTGTTTCAAGCGATTGAAGGTTTCCCAAGCTTGTCGGTATGTGCCCAATGAATTGGTTTGTGTCTAGAAGGAGTTCTATTAATTGGGATAAATTGGAAAGGGAGGAAGGAATGTTGCCTGTAAACATGTTGGTGGATAAGCTCAGTTTTTGCAAATTTTTGAATGCTCCCAGCCAGTGTGGTACCACACCTGTAAATCGATTGTAGTCCAATCCTAAAATGATCAGGTTGGGAAAGTTTGCTATGCCGGAAGGAAAGCTCCCTGCCAACCGATTTTGTCCCAAAAACAGATACTGAACATGAATGGAAAGGTTACTCAATGAACTTGGCACCTGACCTTCTAGAAGATTACCTGCTAACGAGAGACCTTGTAGCTCAGTGCAGTTTGCTAAGCTACTCACAAAGTCCCATTCTTGCTTGTTGCGTGCTTGGACCTTATTCGTCTCAATATTTAACTTGACAAGTTTGGAGAGTCTGCCAATGGAGCTAGGCACAACCCCAGTAAAATTATTCGTCGATATGTCCAAGACACGTAGACTGGTTGCGTTTACGAATGAATGCGGGATTTCCCCATGAAAGAAGTTCTGGCCTAACGAAAGTATCTGGAGATTAGGCAGAGAGTTACCTATGTCGGACGGTACCTCGCCACTTAACATATTCGTGTTAAGCCCGAGGCCGGTGAGACTGGAAAGATTGAGGATGGCTGGTGGAAACATGCCTACCAACAGATTACTACCCAGATAAAGAATCTCCAGCCCGCCCAACTGTGCAAGCTCGTCAGGGATGCTGCCCTGGATACGATTAAACGCACAGCTGAGCTTCCTCATTGCTGAGACATTGGCAATGGAAGGAGGGATGGTTCCACCAATGTCGTTAGTTGAAAGCTGCAGCTGCTGGAGGTTCGGAGGGAGGTCCGCAGGAATTTGGCCATCCAGACCATTGTTGTTGAGCCACAGGACCTTGAGGCTGGAACAGTTTGCAAGGCTGGTGGGGATGCTGCCCTGCAGAATGTTATTGCTAAGGTGGACGGTCTGGAGGCGACGAAGGCGGCCAAGGGACAAAGGGATCTCCCCCGTGAAAGTGTTTTTCGGCAGTGCTAGATTTCTGAGGAACGTCAGGTTCCCGAGCCATGGAGAGATGTGCCCCACTAAACCCCGGTTGACTAGGCGAAGAGAGACGACGCGGCGCAGGTCCCTGGTCCTGCAAGAGACGCCTTCCCAATAACAGAGGTGGGTGCTCTCGTTCCAGGACGCCAGGGCTCGCTGCGGGTCGAGGACGATGGCCTTCTTGAACTCAAGCAGGGAGAGGCGGTCCGTTTCATTACTGTGAGTGGAGGTGGCGACGGCTTGTGCAGCCGCACTGGACGCTGCTATGAGCACCAGGAGAAACTGCCCAATCACAGCATCCTTCATTGTGTTATACTCTGGCCAAATCTACAATAGCAGAGGGAATTTAGATGGTCAGGAAACGTTGGCCACATGTGTTCCAACTAGATGGTCAGGATGGATTTTTGTATGTTGCTTACCTCCAAAGTTATTTAGAGTCGTTTCTTTTCTCAAGGTTCTTGGGCACGGTTCGAATAGGTGAAACCTTGGCTACTGCACGTAGATCATCAGAGTTCTCTTCACATCCCTGTGTAGAGTAGAAGAGGAGAACATGAATGATGTATACAGTTTGTGAGAAGCAAAAGCTATAGATGAGTGACATGAACAGATGCTTAAACAAGTGAGGCTTACTTGCTTGCTTACGGCTGCCTTGGTCACCACCGGCGGTGCCGTGCGTTGAAGCAAAACTGGTCAGCGGCCGGCAGACGATGGGGTGAGCAGAGTGTGAGTGCCCATGACCATGGGTTCTCTCGTTTTTATAGGGCTTCACTGTCTCTAGCTACTAACTAGTAAGCCAAGGCAACTCTATTCAAAACTCATTCGGATCCGCTGCTTTCCATGCTAGTTGACTCCAGGTTCGTCTTCACTTGCCCATGGACCCGTGGAGTGGTTGGCACACCCGAATGTTGATCAGTTTCTTCGCAATCGGCCGGCCGGCCGGCTGGCTGGTCAAGATGCCTTGGCAGCCAAGCCATTTCGACTATATTATCTGCCCAACCTTGACTATTCGTCAATGATGCCTGCAAGAATATTACACTGGAGCTCCCATTCCACCACCTGGATAGGGACGCCAGGATCTCCTTCACGCAAGTCTCCAAGGTGGCTGCATAGAACAGCTCGAGTCAAGGAAACACCAAGTTTTTTCACAACATTAATGCTAGTCTGGACTCCTGAAAATTCTATTCAAAAAGGATATTTGTATTCTCTCTGTTTAGCTTGGGTCCAAGCTCTGCACAGTCCACTCCACTCCTCCTTGATGTATATTCCCAATATATCTTGTAGATAACACCTGTGTTTCATTGAACAAAACTATACAGTTCCCCTGCAGGCATCACTCCGATTAACGTGCACGCAAAAAAATGGTTAGACAGGGTATAGGACAATAAACCACCGGCACCAAAATCTACTTAATTTGGCTAAGTGCCACAGTTTTACACAAATTTCCACAGTGCTTCACATGCGCCTCATGGCTCACAACAAAACTGACCCTGTGAATACAGCAGTTTCTAGTATACAAAACCCAAAGGACAGCCAAACTAGGCCCTAAGCCAGTAAAACGGCATCCAAAAGTATCGTTTTCCCCGCTAAAACAAACCAGCAGGCTTTCCCCACAAAACTGTCCAGTATGCAAATGCACGCAGCATTCCCTCATTCTGGGCTCTTCGTTTTCTCATCAGAGTAACCAGCAGCCCTCCCTGTCCTGCCTATCAAGACCGAGTCTGGCGCTGGACCCTCGTATTCTCCAGTCATACCACGGTAGGACCGGGCCTTGAGGTATTCGATCGCAGACTTCGCACCTCCTTGGTAAAGAACTGCATCGCTATTTTGGTTTCGGGTGCTTAGGGCCTTCTCCGTTAGCTCGGCCAGTGCAAGTGATGTTTCTGAATGCTCCTCGTTTTCTGTGGGGCCAAATGGCGGGAAAACACGTGTGATTTAGAAGAAGAAAAAAAGCATGAATCACGAGACCATAACTATTAACATGTGGAGTTTTTATAAGGTTCCAAATGAAATATGGAACTCAATAGGTGAACACACTAATGTTGCAGGACTTCAACAGGTAAAAGACCTAGTGCACACAGTGACAGATATATAGATCCAAGTGCATAATACCTTGAGGACGATCATCTTCCACATAGCCGCCTTTGATAAAAGAAAAACGTGCTTCTTCACTTTTGCTTGCAACTTCTGGTTTCTCCGAACTGATCAATTCCTTGAAATCCAAAAGATATTCTCCAGTCCATTCTCTTCCTCTGAAAATGTGTCACAGATCCAATAATGATGATAAAGAAGATATTCTTCAAACTTAATGCCACACGTATACTGTTGTCAATAATGACATGTACCTGCTAAAAGCTAATACAGCTTCAAATGGTGTGATAACTGGGGCTAAAAGTTCTTTGCTATCCAATAAAGCAGTTTGGGCACAAGAAACATATACAAAAACTTCACACTGCCACAGAAAATATCTGTCAGTCAATCTACATATGAGAAGCAGAACAAACAATTAGAATTCACTAGCACCTCAGGAAAATTGGCAAGCTTAGCAGAATTAGGCCGTCCCATGACCAGTGTATAAGATTTCTTTCCAGCAGCTTTGATCAGATTTTTCATTTGCTCGATTATGTCAAGGTAACCAGCTGTATCAACAATCAATGTGCCACAGAACCACAATTATATGTCCACAACAGTACCAAAGTGATAAGCGAATAGTTGTAGTCAAGTTCAGTGAATGAATCTCTAATCATGAAAAAACAGGAAGTTCAACTAGAAGAGAAAACATAATCAGGGCCTGATCCGGTCAAACCACCAAAGAAATTCAAAAAACCATGCATATGTCCCGCTTTGAACTGCTTCAAACTAGCCGAATAAGCCTTGGTCTGAACCAATCAGGCCGGACCAGATCGAACCAAATCAACCCACATGCACAAGTTATTTGATGCTCAACATATGGCATGTTTACCCTGAAACACTGAGGAAAGCGGTGCTAAAATCTGAAGTCCAATTCAAACAAGTTCCCCAATACCACATTGCAGAGCCAAACCCAAGGTAGCTTAGATTTCCATGCTCACCTACCTAACATTGGCATAACTATATTTTCAATATTAAAGGTAACAATGTACATACCAACGCCTAGAGTTCCCACCAAAATGCCAACAATATTTGCATCCTTTGCCTTCTCCACAAGGTAATATCTACAAACAGTTTGTATTATTATTAATACTACACAGATAATGTGTACGTGCATTTCAAAGGAAAATAATAGCATACATATGCTGCACAAAAATGTACCTGCGCCTAAGAATTTTCATCAGATGAGAGACATCCCTTGAGAATTGATTTGCTACTGTGTCGTATCTAACTGCATACAAACGTTTCATTAATATTCAAATTCATTTCATTAGAAAGATCTTTTCTCTTAGGAGCAAACATAAAAATAAAGGATGCTCGAAATGCTACCACATGATACCGTATCCATGTACTGCATGCCAGGGTGCCAGGCCCATAATAAAACACAGGAACCCACTGGCTATATTATATGTTAACAATACAAATAATTTAGCAGAAGTCATTAATACATGTCCTAAAGGTCAAACGAGCATGCTCTCCAAGTCTCCATAGTGTAGGTTTCATATTGTCATATAACTGTTTACACATGTGTCAAGAGAAGCAAACTGGATTGTACATTGATATATTATAGAGCCAAACTAGAAATTAGGCAAAACATGATTTGCATGAATTGAAGTGATTCTCCAACTAGCCATAAACTGAGGAAGAGGGAAACAGACCTATATCACATTTATTGAAAGTAAGTGCAACGTTGGCAAAAGCAGAGTTATCTTGTCCAATCCAATATAACAAATAGTCATCCATTTTCTCATCGGTGGATATGCGCCATGTAAGGCCTCCAAGATTATACTTGCGCGTGGATCCTTCCACATTACAGCAACTGTTCACAAGTGTTGCCAAATCATCATTGTCTGCAGGCAAACCATCATTATGAGTGCTTCCATTGGATTGAGAACATTGCTCTTCTGCAGTGGGACTTGATGACGGACTCATTTCTGAACACAGAACTTCTGCATAATGGATTTCGGAATTTTGACAATCTGATTTGCATAATTCCAAAGTGGCTCTTTTAAGATCGTCCAAAGCATGTGCATACTCTAACCCACATAACACCTATTTAATAAGTCAGATCAGCAAAATACTATTACAAGTATAAGTGATGAATATAACAATTGATAGCTCGACAAATTGAATCAGCAAATAGTAACACCGCTGGAAACATGCAGCAACAGAAAAAAAATAGTTAGCAGATAAATTAAACAATATGCAGGCATTACATAATTATTACCAGAAACAGGGTAATTTCATGCAGATGTAGCCATTAACGGCAACACAACAGAATGACCACAGCCAACTCAATTTGTTTTTGTTCTAACTACTCTAATTTAGAATCGTGACCTAAATCAATTTTGTGTACTTCCTTGCGAAGGATATGGCCTAATTGATATTACATTTAAGCTTACCGGTAAAGTTATATTGTTCTAAATAATAAATATTTAAACTTAGAAAGAAAATGCCTATAACCGAAAATGCCATCTTTTCTAACTTATTAATTTTATTTAATATACTTAGAAAGGGTGATTTTACTTCAGTACGAAAGGCAAACATTTTCAGTACGATGATGTTATGTAGTTCAGAAAAAATGTGAACTCCAGAATTCAATGACAAGGACTAAATAGATGCTTATTCCATAAACCAAAGCACAACTTTCAGCGTAAGAAATAGTTTGAGGCATACAAGTGGTTTACTGATTTCTCTCAAGCAATTTAGCAACAAGCTGCAACCATTTTCAGTATGTTGATTTAGTAATGTAGTTTAGAAAAGTTGTGTGAACTCCAGAACTGAGAATTCAATAACAAACGAACATCTTATGCTTATTCCATATACTAAAGCACAATTTTCAGCATAAGAAATAGTTGAGGCATACAAGAACGGGTTTACTGCTTTCTCTCGAGCAATCCAGCAATGAGCGGCAACACGAACTGATGTCCAATGGTGCCTTCCCAAATACGAAGAAAGCTGGCAAATTCGATGTTCTGCATTTAGATTTGTTCTTGTCAGCACAGAGTTTTGATAATGTGAAACAAAAAGGTAATGGCTTCCAGCAAACAATCATCATAATGACTGGAACTGTATAAGTGAATAAAAACGAAATATTAATATGATAAGCATCTCCCACTGACATCATGACCGGACATAAATGAGGAACACCTTGTATTACTATCAACCATTTCCTGCTA